GAAGGTTTGAAGTATTTGAGTTAATTGCTTAAATTTTTGAATGTTCTAGTGTTTGAGTGATTAAGTGTAGGAGTGTTTTGATAAATGTAATATTAAATAGGTTAATCTGAATTTGAATAAACCAACAAAAAGAAACCTCTAAGGCGCCTCCCTTCACGTCCAATCGTGTTACATACATGCAGAGACGCCTTCTCCAAGGCTGTCACCTAGCCTGCACCTACACTGCAACCCATGCCACCTCTTATTCGCCAACAGGGGTGGCGACACCTTTCATTTTTGTACTTTTTCTCCAAGTCCAATGGTGCATCCCTTCATGTCCAATTATGTTACATGCATGCAAAGATGCCTTCTCCAAGGCGGTCACCTAACCTGTACCTACATTGCAACCCATGCCACCTCTTATTCGCCAACATGGATGGCAACACCTTTCATTTTTGTACTCTTTTGCCAAGTCCAATGACGCCTCCCTTCATATCCAATCGTGTTACATGCATGCAGAGATGCCTTCTCCAAGGCTGTCACCTAGCCTGCACCTACACTGCAACCCATGCCACCTCTTATTCGCCAACAGGGATGGAGACACCTTTCATTTTTGTACTCTTTCACCAAGTCCAATGGCGCCTCCCTTCACGTACAATCGTGTTACATGCATGCAGAGATGCCTTCTCCAAGGCTGTCACCTAGCCTGCACCTACACTACAACCCATGCCACCTCTTATTCGCCAACAGGCATGGCGACACCTTTCATTTTTGTACTCTTTCGCCAACTCCAATGGCGCCTCCCTTCATACCCAATCGTGTTACATGCACGCAGAGATGCCTTCTCCAAGGCTGTCACCTAGCCTGCACCTACACTGCAACCCATGCCACCTCTTATTCGCCAAGAGGGATGGCAACACCTTTCATTTTTGTACTCTTTCACCAAGTCCAATGGCGTCTCCCTTCACGTCCAATCGTGTTACATGTATGCAGAGATGCCTTCCCCAACGTTGCCACGTAGCCTGCACCTACACTGCAAGAGTGACACTTATCATGCATGCATGCACCCACCTACCACCTCACTTACTCTATGATAAAAGTTTGCCTATAAATATAGAGCCTCACATACTTCTATCGCATTCACAATCGTCTCACTCTCTGCTACAACCTCTTTCATAATCTCATACAATTTCAAACTCTTTCATAATCTCAGACATTTTCAACAATGGATCTTCTCACAATGGGCGATTCTCACAAAGGCACAAGGGAAAACATTGCAGTGTTTGTAAGTTTCTTGTATATTTATACATTTTTCATACTTCTATTAATGCTTTATTCATCTTACCTACTCTTACACTTTTTACATTATTAACTTAGGATACTAAAAGATTCAGAATTCGGTCACATAACTACCTTGCTCCCGATCCGTTGATCGTACCCTATCTCGAATACGCAGGTTTCAGAAACGTTATAAAAATCTCCAACTGCACGATTGATTCAAAGTTCATACTTGCAATGTTGGAAAGTTGGAGACCAGAGACCCATACATTTCATCTACCAATAGGTGAATGTACCGTCACACTAGAGGACGTGTACATGTTATTGGGTCTCCCTGTCGATGGTAAGGCGGTTAACGGGTCGGTTCAACAACCCAATTCTCTGTGTGAAGAATTATTGGGCAGGGATATGGTTGAAGGTGGTGGTGCGAGAGGTCAGGGTATACTACTTACTGAGCTAAAAAATCATTATGCGACTCTGGAATTGAACGAAAATTCCTCCGAGCTAGCTAAGGTAATAAAAGCTAAAAATTATATAATGATACTATTTGGAACCTTTTTATTTCCCGAAAGTACGGGAAATAGTGTAAATTTTATGTATTAAAATTTACTTAGAGACTTCGAAAAAACTAGAAAGTATAGTTGGGGTTCTGCTGTTTTAGCCCATCTATACAGTTCCTTGTGTAAAAATGAAATCAAGGAAAAATGTACATTTTATGGTTGCGCTTTTTTACTTCAAGCCTGGGGTTGGTGGAGGATGGAGTCCCTAAACCCCGTTAACAACAACACATTCGTTTTCCCATGCGCAACAAAGTAAACCATCAACTTATATCATTTATTACTATTCATCTCTTCACCAAATATATGATAAAAATAAAATATTTTTCAATTCCTTTAGGTACTGCGTGAGGGGTATGGATTACGCCAAGAATCCAAGATTCAATGTCGCTCTATACCGCAATCTATTAGATCACCTTGGCCCGGATGATGTACGTCATACCATTCAACTTTTCTACTTTTAAATTATTTATTTATTACATTTTCATTAAGCTGATTTAATTTTATCCGCAGTTTGTCTGGAAACCATATTTGGGTTTGGACCATGAACCAAACCCCAAGGATGCAGCAATTTGGAGCGCAAAGTCTGCAATCATACAGTTCAATATTGTGGAGATGCACCACAGTGACCGTGTCAAGATTCAGTTTGGAATGCATCAAGAAATACCCGGTGATCCGACTTGTTTGTCCCCGTGGCATCTCAAAAGGGTCGACGCCCAATGGGGTCTTACCAACTAGAAATATTTTGCTCCAAAATGGTGTAAGATGTGGCAGAGGCGTCACCGACATGTCGTGCAATTCCCAGTTTTCCTCAACCATGGTAATATGCGACACACAGATCAGTATTTATCTTGGTACTGATCGGTTAGTACCCTAAAAATGCACGTGTCTCATCCAATGTATTTGGTTGACCCACAGACATAATGGACACAACCCTCATTTCCCCCAACAACAAACCCAACACGCATTAACCTCCCACCAACCCCCCCGCCGAAACAGAACCACAAACACCTAACCACAGTCACCACCACAATACAATTACACCCACATGCCCACAACCAACCACAATCACCACCTTAGTACCAATACCCCCATATGCCTCACACTCAACCACAATTTCAATCACAATACGAATACACCCGCATACCCCACACACAACTTCAGTCTTCTACATATCCCAATATGGGCCCCTCAACATCCAACCTTAGTCCTGATCTGGGATTGTCCGAAGATTATGAACCATCTGACCCAACTTACCATCAACCACAACATCACCAAAGCACCCAACATTCTCAATACCAAACACCCCAAGATCCATTTTCTTTCTACCCCCCATACTCAGACGACCAGTGCTACATACCAACCATGGAACCTCACCCACCACCAACACGACCAAACTTTAAGGGTATGGGCAACCGACTGTACCAAAGCGGATCTTCTAGATATGGAGATCTGAAGGATTTCATGGATCTGGAACGCATTGACTTCGCTGGGCCATCGACCCTGCCACAACAGGAAACACGACGAAACCCAGCACGGGAAAGGCGAAGACTGGGATGCGAAACCGAGGGTCATTACCGGGTTCCGGGGGACCACTGATTAATCTATATTTTTTATGTAATCGTTATGTGTGTAATCATATTGTGTAAATAAAAAGTCAATTTTGTTGATCCTATATCGTTTACGTAACGCACCGCATTTAAAATAAAAAATATGAAAAATCGCCTCCCAATTGCACTAAAGCGCCATCTCACTTGACTTAGGGCAAGCCTTTCACACCTAGGCGCTAAGTGAGATGGCGCCTCCCCTTTAAAATAAGGTGTAGGCACCAACTGGGTTGGCTCCTCCCTTGTGGGGTTTTCTGAAACATGATTATTTGCGTAGTTTTCTCCGAAACATGGTTATTTGCAATTTTTTTAATACCTAGTTATTCCAAAAAGAAATTCTAAATAAGACTTATATTATACTTAAAATTGACACTCATAATGAGAATAATACAATACTATTTCTCTCTTTCTCTTATTCGTTTCTACTCTTTTATTATATTGTTTTTCATTAATTTCATAACAATTATTTAATAATTAGTCTATATGAATTATATATTAGTCAGTAAATAATTATAATTATTATTATTATTATGTGAACTATATATTAGTCAAGAAAATAATAATTATAGTAAATAATAGTAATATTTATATTTATTAGAATAATTAAAATTTCTATTTTAAGAAAATCTCTATTTTTATTTATCCAATTTTATTGAAAAGTCGATGACAATTAGAACAAATGGTATTTCCGGAGATATATCTCTGAATTCACTCTAACAAAAATGGAAAATACATCTCCGAACTAAACTTTTGTAAAAAATAAAATTTGGTGCGTTTTGATATGCCTCCGAAAACAGGAGATATTTTAGAAATTTCGCCAGAAAACTGAGGGTTGAGAGAATGTATAACGCTAGAATGAGAAATTGCCAATTTTTTCTTCCAATTAGTTTGAATTTCACTAAATCTATTTACAAACTCTCACATTGGCTCATTCTATTGACAATACTAAAAAAAAAGAAGCTAAAACTGTTTATTAGAATAATACATATTGAACTCTTAATTATATATTCCAACTAAAAATCACCTAAACTTATAAGCAATAATTTTTTTTTTGGATAACACTATAAGCAATAAAATATGTGCAACGATTTTTGTGCAGAAATAAAATATAAAAGTAAACAATAATAGAAAGATATTAACTTATATTTATCCAAGACTTTATAGAATCCTACTAAATATGAGGTTTTCCTCCTTGCATACATGAGAGGAAACTCTAAAATAACAATAAAAACCTGTAGTTTAGATATTTGAAAGAATTTGAGAAGGAGATTTAGAGTTTGAAATTTGAATACTAACATAATAAATTATAAACTAACATTTGGCTATAAATTAACGGCAAGGATAATGTGACTTGAGATAGTTTGTTTAATACATAAATATTGCAACAATAATAATCATTTCTTCACCTTATCATTTGAAATGAAGGAAGAAATTATTACACGTCAATAACAATAATTAAATACACAAGCACAATAAGATACAAGTTCATTTCAAACGACAAAAGATACTATCCAAGATTCAAGAGTAAAATTATTAACGACAAAAGATATTGCAGTAAAAGAATGCAAAGGAAAATACTCTAATAACCAAGAGGAGCAGTTAAAGCAGCCTTAGATTCTACAATTTGTTTCTCTTGTTGAATGATACTCTCCAAATCAGCTTCGGAGGAGGACAATTGTTGCTTAAGTTCTTCCATATTTCGACTTAAAATGTGTATCTTGAAACGCACGACTTCAACATCCTCGACAATCTGTTTCTTGGAAACCAATAATTTTTGCAATGCATCTTGAGAGAATTCCAAATTAGGAAACAAAGCGCGCTTTTCAACACCATCCAACCAATCCTTGTCAAAAGTAAAACCGCGCACATCATGTAATAACTCGAGAAATTCAGAGTGGCAAGAACCTAACACATCCAACACACTATGGGTTTGGAGGAATTTCAATAGCTTAATTAGGAACTTGTATGCATGGCCCTTATATCCGTTACTATGTTTGTCACTTAGAAGAACTGAAGGATGCTTAACAAGAAAATCAGTCAACAAAGACAAGTTCTCGTAATCCAAATGCTTCTTGGAAACCAATTCCTCAAGCTTCCGCGTGACAAGATAAGGAGAACTTAAATCTTGCACTTTTTGAGAAGGGTTCCCTAATAATGAAGAAAAGACTAGATAAGACTAAAAAAAAATGTTAAAAAAATTAAGAGAGAAAATACCTTCAAAATGCATTGAAGGAGCCTGAAATGCAATATTGCTAGAAATTTGTTCCTCAACAATTGGGCTTTCTTTCATGACAACATCTTCATATAGAGAAACTGAACAAAAGGTGGGAGGGAAGAGAGTGCAACATCAAAATCAAAAGGGTGATAAGATAACATAAGAAAATAAAATTGGTCTAAACAATCGTCACCTCGATCATTATTAATCATAGTAGTTTCTAGAGAATCTCTAACATCAACATGTTGTTCCTACACATATTCAATAAAATAAATGATAATATCAATATCCAAAATATTAATATTCAGAAAACATGTTTGATTCAAAGACATTTTCATGCTAATTGTAATTAGATGTGAGTAGCTTGAATAAACATATTGATATTGACCTGTGAAGAAGTCAACCCGTGCTCTAATGTTGCTTCAACTTCAATCCCAACACCAACCACAAAAGCTTTTGTGGTCTCTGCACTTGAATTTTCATTACCAGTATCGTAACCCTTGGTTCTATCTTATAATTATCGAAAAATAGTTTTGATTAAAATCATTAGATAATAAGTCATAAATATAACAATAAAACCATAATGTACACTTATGACTATTTTACACCCATTTCAGAGGAGATTTAAAAATGTTTCTAGAAGGACACGCCTAATAGTAAATATTTTACCACTTTTATAAAGCTTTTATTAGTTAGGATATATGTAACTCTATAAATCCTTTCGTTTTAAAATACTTATATGCACATTTCTACTCTAAACGCTTTAATTATTTAATTTTTTAACCATTAAAACAAAGATGTCGTAACATACAATTACATAATTGATGGTGAACAATGGAGGATTTAAGGTATGTGGAGAAGAAGACAGTGAAAGAAGATTTAGGGTATGTGAAGAAGAAGATAGTGAGAGAAGAAGAGAATTAGAGACACAACGAGAGTAATTAATGGTGAGAATGAAAAATTCTATTAATTTGAGATGAGAATGCCTCAGAGGAACTTATACAAGTGTTATACAACAATTGAGACCTAAAACAACTCACTAAAGTACAAGAAAAAAAATCAGGCTTGTAATCGGTTAACATAAACCGTTAAACGGTTAAACAGACCAAAACAAAAACTTCAAACAGTTAGTGTAACCGGTTAAAACGTATGCGTAACCGGTTAACGCCAACTCAAAAGTTATTTTTTTGCTTCCAGAAGGGTTTTTTCTTCAAAGTGTAACCAGTTACACCCCCTGTATTAAGCAATTATAGCACTTGAATTATCAGGATTTCATCCAACACACCACCTTAATTCAAGTGTTTCAAGTCTTACATACTCATGTTCATCCTCAACCTCTTGAACACATCATTTGTGACTCCCTTAGTCAACAAATCAACAACTTGATCCTCACTTCTACAATATCTCATTCTTAACTTGCCTTCACTAACAAGCTCCCTCAAGTAGTGAAACCTCGTCTCAATGTGTTTACTTCTCACACGTGCTATTGGGTTCTTAGCAAGATTAATAGTTGAAATATTATCAACCAAGAGTGTGACAGCTTTACCCATTACTGCCCAACTCTTTCAATATATTCATTAGCCATACGGCTTGACACGCACATAATGAAGCGACAATATACTCGACCTCACAAGACGAGAGTGCCACTACCGGTCGCTTCTTCGAACACCATGAGATTGAAGCTCCATCGAAGATAAAGATTATCTAGGTGTAGACTGACGATCATCTTTATCTCTGCACCAATTAGAATCGATAAAACCAAGAAAATTGCATTTTCTTCCTGTATCCGCTGCGAGAAAGAGAATTTAGCATCCAACATATCCTTTGATGTATCTCAGGATTCTCTTGACTTTTTCCAAGTGAGACACATTCAGTATCTCCATGAATCTACTTGCAATACCAACACTAAACACAAATTCTAGCCGCATATTGCACAAGTAACATAATGATCCAATCAACCTTCTATATTGAGTAGGATCTACGTTCTTCTCCTCTTCATTCTTGGACAACTGAAACCTTGGTTCAGCTGGTGAAATGACAGTATTAGAATGCTCCTTATCATACTTCTTCAATATCTTAATAGTATATCTCTTTTGATGCATAAGTAGTCCCCTTTTGATGTATCTCAGGATTCTCTTGACGACTTTCAAGTGAGACACATTCGGTCTCTCCATGAATCTACTCGCAATATTGACACTAAATGCAAAACCTGGCCGCATATTGCACAAGTAACGTGATGATCTAATAAACCTTCTATATTAAGTAAGATCTACATTTTGCTCCTCTTCATTCTTGGAGAGCTGCAACCTTGGTTCAACTGGTGTAATGGCAGCATTACAATGCTCCATATCACACTTCTTCAATATCTCAATGGCATATCTCCTTTGATGCATAAGCAGTCCCCTTTTGATGTATCTCAAGATTCTCTTTATTGTTGCCAAGTGAGAGACATTCTGTCTCTCCATTAATCTACTCGCAATATCTACAACAAAGGCAAAATTTGGCCGTATATTGCATAAGTAATGTAATGATCCAATCAACCTTCTATATTGAGTAGGACCTACTTTCTGCTCCTCTTCACTCTTGGACAACTGCAAACTTGGTTCAACTAGTCTAATGGAAGCATTACAATGCTCCATATCACACTTCTTCAATATCTCAATGGAATTATCTCTTTTGATGCATAAGCAATCCCCTTTTAATGTATCCAGGATTCTCTTGACTGATGTCAAGTGAGACATCTTCAGCCTCTCCATGAATCTACTCACAATACTGACACTAAAAGCAAAATATGGCTGCATATTCACAATTAACGTAATGATCTAATAAACCTTCTATATTGAGTAGGATCTATGTTCTGCTCCTCTTCATTCTTGGATAGCTACAACATTAGTTCAGCTGGTGTAATGGCAACATTATAATGCTCCATATCACACTTCTTCAATATCTCAATGGCATATCTTCTTTGATGCATAAGCAGTCTCCTTTTGGATTTGTGGAACTTTATGCCATGGAAGCATGTCATAATACCAAGGTTGCTCTTCTCAAATAATTTCATGAGCTTACTCTTGAACATAGAAATACTCATCTCGTTGCTGCCTATAATCAACAAGTCGCCTACATATAGATAAAAATGATCACGCTTCACTTGCACCCGTCTTCACACAAATTCCATGCTCGGACACACATTCCTTGAAGCTAACCTAAATTCGGAAACCATTTATCTATCCTTTTATTCCAAGCTCTCAAAGCTTGATTCAAACTATACAATGCTTTTCTCAACTTGTAGAACCATCCCTCTTGTTTTTTCACAACAAAACCAGTGGGGGTGTTCTACTTCAAGCGGGCCGTTAAAAAATGCGGACTTCACAACTATTTGATAGATATACCAATTTATGCTATTCGCAATACCAACAAATAGCTTTATGGTTTCAATCCTAAAAACCAGTGCAAATACCTCATCAACGTTTATATTCTCTTTACAAATATCCTTTTGCAACTAATGGAGCCTTATGCTTGATTATTTCAACTTTGGGATTTTCCTCCTCCTTATAGACCCATCTTACCCCAATCGACTTTTTTCCTTCTAGTAGATCAACCAACTCTTAAGTATTAATTTTCTCAATCGATTCTAACTCCTCTTTTATAGCACATATCCACTTTGGATCACTCAAGACCTCTTCCGTCTTAACGGGCTCGAATTCAGCCATAAGTGAAAAATAGACGAAATCACCATCATCATTGGTTTCCTTGTTGCAGAATATATCACAATCTTGGAGTATTTGAGGAAAACCTCTTTGCCTAGTTGTTCGTCTCACATTTTCATCAATTCTTAGTTCGACGTGCGGTAGTTATTTGTTTCAGATTCTCGAGAATCCAAAAAATCGCACGTCTAACCAATTAATGCCTTTATGAAACCAATTAACGTGTTAAATCGATTACACGCTGCTCCATTTGCTTCAATTCATCGATTAGAACATCTTGGTTGATCACAATCCTCATGTTTTCAACATCAAACAACTTGTAACCTCTAGTAGGGTGATACTCCGCAAGTATCGTCAACTCCCCTTTGCCATCCAACTTCTTTCTAAGTTGACCCAGAACATGTTGATATAGCACGGAAATGAAAAACTCTCAAATGGTTTAGATTCAGTTTGAATCTAGACCATTCCACTTCCGGTGTTTTCTTCTCAAGCCTTTTTGTAGGTGATCGACCACATTTTTGCTGTGTTTTATTAGTTGTTTTTGTTAGTCTTTTGCAGTACTTCTTTGCAAAATGAGAATATTTATAGTAAGTTTCTAATGGTTTTAAAGGTTCTTGTGATTATATCATTTCAAATTCTTTTGATCTTTTTAGGAAGGTATTGTGTGTTTTGCAGGACAAACATACATAGAATAGAGTGAGAAGTGTGGTGTGGTTGGCCAAACATATGGCCAAATGTGTGTGGAATAGAAAAAAATGCATTCCTCTGCCCAAATAAGTGCCCAGACGCGTGCCAGCTTAGGAAACCATCCAGAATTGGGTCTCTCTTCCCACATGCATGCCAATACATGTGTCCCAGTCAAAGAAATCAAAGAAAAAGCATCCCTCTAGTCAGACACATGTCAAAACGCGTGCTAGAGGCACTTGTGTGCCTAGACGCAAGCCTTGTACCCTGTCAGCAACGTCTCATTCCAAATGCGTTCCATCTCCTACAGGAAGTCAGAAAAAGGATCCTCGGGTCAAACAAGTCCCAACACGCGTGTCAAGTGGTAGAAACACGCAAGAAAACTACCTCCTTACCTGAACGCGTCCCCAGACTCGTGCCATCAGCCCATGTGCGTCCCAAGACGCGTGTGCGCGTGAAGTCATGAATTTTTTTGTCTGAATTTTTTGTGCATCCGTTGCACCTTCGACGAGGGGATTCACCCCATTCTTGATCCCTTAAAGAACTTCTTGGTATCCAAACAACACTTTTATTTTCTTGCAACTCTTGTCGTAATTCTTCGCATCAAGGGTTGATAGGTTTGTGGACACTCTATCATTGGAGACATTATTCATGTTTGTATAGCGGGTTATGGATCAGAACAAGACTCTTGATGCCAAATGTTGGAACATTCAATCACATAATTGGTGAACAATAGAGGATTTTGGATATGTGAAGAAGAAGATAGTGAGAGAAGAAGAAAATTAGAGAGAGGGAGAGAGTAATTGAGGGTGAGAATGAACAATTCTATTAACTTGAGATGAGGATGTCTCCAAGGCATGTATACTAGTGTTACATAACAATTGGGATCTAAAACAATTCACTAAAGTACAAGAAAAAACATTAAATATCAGGCTCGTAACCGGTTAACACAACCATAACAGAAACTTCAAATTATCAGGTGTAATCAGTTAACGCGTATGCGTAACCAGTTAACACTAACTCAAAACTGCTTTTCTTACTTGCAAAAGTGATTTTTCTTTCAGCCATAATGGTTACACATTTGTGTTAACTAGTTACAACACTTGAATTATAAGGATTTCATCCAACAAAAGAGAGAAATTGATGATAAAGATAAAACAAAGATTATATGATGTATTTAGAAAGTCATCCATTAATCAAGTAAAATCACCTCTTTTAAGGATCCAAAATGTCTCCATCTTAGGCAGTTTAAAAAGTATTTATTTAGATAGAAAATGACAAATATATTTGTGTATATTCTAAAGGATTTTGTGCTAGTGTGCACGTCACTTTCATAAATACACATACGAGTTACAAGAAATAAACACTTTAATGACAACATCTTCATTTAGAGAAACCGAAGATCAAAATCCAAAGGGGTAAAGATGACATGAGAAAATAAAATTGGTCTAAAAAGTCGTTACCTTGATCATCATTAAGCTTAACAGTTTCTAGAGAATCTCTAACAGCAAAATCTTGTTCCTAAACATATTCAAATAAACAAATGATATTATCAGTATCCAAAATATTAGTATTTGTAAGATTAGCCTCACTAAATATATCAATATATATATATATTCTAGTTTGGAAGAGCCTAACTTTTATCATAGAGAGAATAACAAACAAAAAACAAAAAATATCAGTATTTGTAAACATTAAAAAGCTTGATAAGATTCTATAAAGTCACACTTACTTGTGATGAACTGATTAACTCTAAATGAGTTGAGGTTGTTAATATCTTGGCATCTGTTAATGCAGTTTCTTCTTCAACACTCTGCATAAATTAAAAATGATGTTTAAGTTGGTAGTGTAATTCAAACTACATTCAAAAGGGGTCAAAATGAAAACAAACAATATAGGAGAGATATGCCCTTAGTTTAGGAAAATGTAAATAACATGTAGTAAAATTTTAACAAGCACTTGAAGTAAAATCTATATATTTTTAGCTTTTGATGCAAAATTAGGTGATACTATATTAAATTACTTGCCTGAGGTGGTTTGATGGTAGTATTGATTTCTCCAAGTGGACCTTGTTGACTCATTGATTGTTCTTTCTCCAACTTCTATATTAAAAACATGCATTAGAGATATAACATTACTTTTGTATTTGTTGGTAATACTGGAACAGATGGTGTCTCTAAATAAGAAGCATTTTCGACACATTCATGCTCTGCCACTACTGCTTGTTTCATTTTTATCTACTAAAAAAATATGTTTGATTCAGAGACATTTTTATCTAATAAACAGATTTATGTTGACCTGTGAATATGTCGTTTCATGTCCTAATACTGCTTCAGTTTCAATCCCAACACTAGCAACATCATCTTTTGTGGTTTCTCCACTTGAATTTTCATTACAAGTATCTTCAGTTGTCGACTCTTTTTGTAATTTTTTAAATAGAATCTTAAGCAGAAACCTTGTATAAAGATCTACAGAAAAATAATATTGATTCCAATCGTTAGATAGTAACTCATTAACATAGTAAAACAAAAACGTTCACTAGATTTACAATTAATTATTTTTTTATTAAACAAATGGGAAAAAGGAAACTATTATTAAGTAATGTGATTTGAACTCCATCCCTAATAATCAACACTTTACTACTTTTATAAAGCTTCTATTAGTAAGGAATTGGATAACTGCATAAATTCTTTCATTTTAAAATAGTTATTCATGCACATTTTTACCTCAATTATTTATTTTTCAACGTAGTTAAATTTTTAAAATATTTTAAAAAAGAAAAATAGAGATAAAGAAAAAACAAATTATTATATTGTTGAAAATCCACCAAAATCTATGATTAATTTCTATCAATCTTGATGAACAAAATTGTTACCACCACACAATGACAATGAAAAGAAAAGAAAATTAAAGAAGAAAAGATTAGAGTTTCTGTAGAATTTCTCTCTGCCCACAAATTGTGGAAAACTTTATTCACTTGCAACTGTAAATTCTCTGAATACTCAACTTGAGTTAGTTTGTTACAAAAATAGGGGTTACACCCTCTATTTATAATTGAACTTACTTTTTCCATAAGCCAAAAAGCTTAAAACTATAAAAGCTCAACATATCTATTTTAGACCTAAATCAAATATATCTATTTTAGACCTACATCAAATCTATCTATTTTAGAACTAAATCAAATATGTGTGTAGAAATTTGCTTACAACACTTCGATAGACTAATTACAACTCGACAAATCTTTTCGACACACGCACACACTAGGTGTTTAGACACTTTCTTGTTTTCTGTCGAGCAAACTGCTTCGACACAAGGAATTATACTTTCAACACACCACCTAATTCATTGTGTCTAAGCTATCTATATTCATCATAGCTCTTAGTTTTCTAAATATTTCGACCTCCACACATTTGGTCATGACATCTGCAATCTGATTCTCAGTTCTGTAGTGTTCCAAGTTCATCTTCCTATCTTCTACTTGCTCTCGAAGATAGTGGAACCTCATTTCGACGTGCTTGCTTCGACCATGTGCTATCGGGTTCTTCGCCTGATTGATAACTGACATGCTGTCGATCTTCATGGTAATTGCCCCATGATCTTTACCTGTTATCTCTTCGACCAAGTTCACAATCCATGTTGCTTCACATGCGCAAATAGAAGAAGCTATGTATTCTACTTCGCATGATGATAATTTCACTAATGGTTCCTTTCTCGAACTCTAAGCAATTGGTGCACCACCTAACATAAACACATAACATGCTGTGGATTTTCGATCCTTAACATCACTACACCAACTCGAATAAGTGTACCCCCACTAACTTGTACTCTTTTCCTTTATCATCTGCAGGAAATAAAATGTCATAGTTAAAAGTTCCTTTCAGATAACTCAGTATCCTCTTCGTCGCTGCTAGGTGTGATATCTTTGACTTCTGCATGAATCTACTTACCATACCTACATTGGATGCTAAGTCAGGCCTTGTGTGACAAAGGTATCTTAATGATCCAATAAATTTTCTGTATTGAGTTGGGTTGACATTATCTTCTTCTAAATCTTTTGACAGTTGCAGTCTGGGTTATGCAGGTGTCGAAGTCGAGTTACATTCTTCCACCTCAAATCTCTTGAGAATTTCTCCTGCATACCTTCTTTGATGCATCATCAAACCTCAACTACTCTTGTAGAAGTTGATGCTAAGGAAATATGAAATGTCACCCAGATCAGACATTTCTAATTCCTTGCTGAGATCATCTTTGAAGTCTTCGATCTTCTTCTTGCAGCTACCTGTTATTAACAAGTCATCGACATTGAGACATATTATAAGAAATTCACTATTTCTTCTTCTTACATATACTACATGCTCAGTTGTGCACTTCACAAATTCCTTTTCCCTTAGAAGACTATCAATCTTCTTATTCTAAGCCCTTGGAGCTTTTTTCAATCCATACATGGCTTTATGCATCATATACACCTTTCTCTCTTTGCCATGCTTCACAAACCAGACTGGTTGTGCAACATAAACTTCTTCGTCTAAAGGTCCATTTAGGAATGCATACTTTACATCCATCTGACATATGTGCCAACTGTTCATTTCTGCTATACCAACAACCAACCTAATTATTTTGATTCTAGCCACAGGTGCAAAAACCTCATCGAAGTCTATTCCTTTTTCTGGAGAAATCCTTTCACCACGAGCTTTACTTTGTGTTGAGTTAATTTCCCTTTGGGATTCATATTCACTTTGTATACCCAATTGGCATTAATTTTCTTCTTGTCTTGAGGAAATTCGACAAGTGACCAAGTGTTGTTGTCTTCGATGGAATTTACTTCTTCGTTCATTGCTTTCGCCCACTTCAAATCCTTCAATGCTTCAATTGCATTGACTGGTTCGACATCTGCATAGAAAGCATAATGTACTAGCTCACCTTCATTATCTACCACATCATCTAGTGTAATCACACAATCTTGCAGCCTTGTTGGCATGCGTCTTGTTCTCCGAGGTCTGCTTGTACTTGGTTGATCTCTAACTTCCTCTTGTCGAACTTCACTTTCAACTTGAGTTTCTGATTCTTCAAGCAAGATTCTCACTGAATCTTTCTTGACATTTTCAGTTCAATCCTATTCTTTAAGCTCATCTATGATCATGTCCCTGTTGATCATAATCTGTTTGTTCATAGGGTTGAACAACTTGTAATCTCATGTCGAATTATATCCAACTAGGATCGTTTGACTCAACTTGTCATAAAGTTTTCTTCTCAAGTGATCTGGCACATGTCTATGTGTTATTGATCTAAACACTTTCAGATGACTTAAACTAGGTTTTACACCAGACAACTATTCTTCTGGAGTGACTCCTTCTAACTTCTTCATTCGGCATATGTTTAAAATATATGTTGCAGTAGACACGACTTCACCCCAATTTTTTTTAGGAAAATTCCTGCCTTTCAATATACTTCACACCATATTCATGATGGTTTTATTCTTCCTCTCTGTAGTTTCATTCTTCTGTAGAGTTTAGGGTGACACTGCCTCATGTACAATCCCTTCCTTTTCACATAATTCGTGGAAATCTTTCGACACATACTCTCCACCACCATCAGTTCTCAAAACTTTGAGCTTTCAACCACTTTTCCTTTCGACCATAGATTTAAACTTGATAAATACCTCGATCATTTCACTTTTCTTCTTGAGCAGGTAATTCTACAGTTTTCAACTGAAGTCATCTATGAATGTGATAAAGTATTTGTTACCTCCCATCTAATCCACCTGGAATGATTCAAATACATTAGAGTATATGACTTTGAGAATCACCTTCGACTTGCTTCCTACATCCTTGTTGAAGCTATTCTTGTGTTGTTTTGCCTGCACACATTCCTCACACACCTCGTTTGGAATGTCGATCTCTAGAAATTCTGAAATCATATTTTTTCTCTTTAAATCTTTGGTGTCTCTAAAGTTGAGATGGTCTAGTCGATAGTGCCATATCCATTTGTCTCTGCTAGCTGCAGTCGAAATGCACTGATGCTCCGTCATATTAAGTTCGATATTGAAGGTTCTATTCCGAGACATAGGAGCCTTCAAGATTAATCTTCCATTTGCGTCGATGACTCTCATCATCTTGTCTTCGACCTGAACTTTGTAATTCATTTTGACAAACTGCCCTATGCTTAACAAGTTTCTCTTCATGCCTTGAATGTACACCACATTGGAAATTACTGACCTTTTTCCATCTCCAATACCTTCAGCTGCTAGAATATTGTCATTTGTAAATTTTACAGTGTTCTTCATTGAGGGTTTTAGGTTGACAAACCAATCTTTCCTTCCAGAAATGTGTGATGAGCATCCTGAATTCAAGTATCATTGGTCCTTGAATTTTTCTTCATCGCTTATTGTGACCATCAACAACATCTATTATTCTTCATACTTTGCAAACTTTGTATCACTTTCTTGATTCTTTCGCTTTTCAGGACAATCACTAGAATAGTGACCATACTTTTGACAATTGTAACAATGAATGTGACTTTTGTCAGGTTTTCGACCATCACCTCTTCCTCTAACTCCAGAACCACCTCTTTGTTTCCTTGGTATTGGGGTTTTCTCTGATTCAACACAACTCCTTCATGCTGGTTTCCTTTACAAGTCTAATTGTTGTAGTCAACTCTACTTTTGTCTTCGAACCATTTTCCTTTGCATTTCTTATCTTTTACTGATTAAGCCTATAAAACCACACCACTCTTCGATTTTCCTGCACCTCTTTCAGCCAATATTTGTTCATGAGATTCAAGAGTCTCTTGAAGCTCTTCTTTCGACAAAGTTGACATGTCTTTCGAATCTTCAGTGGAAACTACCACATGATCAAACATCGGATCCAACGATCTCAAGATCTTCGAAACAACAGCTCTTGTTGTTAACCTCTCTCCACAAACCTTGATTTGATTTACTTGTTTCGTAACCCTAGTGATGAAATCAGATATGCTTTCACTATCTTCCATCTAAAGCAATTTATACATTCTTTTGTGAGTTTGTAACCTCACCTCTTTCACCTTCTCATCGCCTCCAAACGATTTCTTTAGAATTTCCCAAGCTTCTTTTGCAGAATCTACATCACTAACCTTTTGAGAAATTGTCTGGGCTAACACATGGGTGAATTATAAAGAGAACTTTTATAATTCTTCTTCTTTAATTCTTTTTATTCCGCCTCTTCTTTTCTGAAGCATCTTCTTCAAGTGGTTCTAATCCATATTTCACAAGTTCCTAAAGACCTTGAAAACAGAATACAACCTTCATCTGTTTGCACCAATTCTCATAATTATCTCCTTTCAGAATCGGAAGGTTCGATGGAAAGTTTCCATTCGCAAAATTCATCGCCATTGATTTTCTTCTTCTTTTCCATTTGATCGCTCAACTGGAGCTCTTGATACCAAATGTTGGAAATCCATCAAAACCTATGATAAATTTTTATCAATCTTGATAAACAAGATTGTTACCACCACACAATGACAATGAAAAGAAAAGAAAAATAAAGAAGAGAAGATTAGGGTTTCTTGAGAGTTTCTCTCTGTCCAAAACTGTGGAGAACTTTATTCACTTGCAACTGCAAATTCTGTGAATACTCAATCTGAATTAGTTGGTTACAAAAAAGAGGTTACTCCATCTATTTATAATTGAGCTTGCTTTCTCCATAAGCCAAAAAGCCCAAAACTATAAAAGTCCAAAATATCTATTTTAGACCTAAATCAAATATATATCTAAATCGAATCTATTTATTTTATATCTAAATCAAATTTGTGTGTAGTAATCTGCTTACAAGTCGATATAATATTTTTGACACACACACTAGGTGTTTCGACACTTCCTTATTTTCTGTCGAGCAAGCTGCTTCGATACATGAAATTATAGTTTCAACATATATGACATCTTTGACAATGCCATAACTTTTCTTTTAAATTATACCAAGAGACATATGTATACTCTCTTCTAGTCCTTGATAAGAAATATTGTGCAAACAAATTTACTGAAATAATTTCCCAAGTTTTAACTTATGTATCAAGAAAGTCAGTCGTTAATCGAATAAGGTCACCTCTATTAAGGACCCACCATTTGCATCTCATATAATTTGAAAAAGTATATAATCAGAAAGAAAGTAACATATACATGTATGAGTATCCAAAAAAAATTGTAGTAGTGTGCATGTGACTATACACACTTTCATAAATCCACAAAAGAGTTACAAGAAATTAACATAAGTTTTCAAAATATTTTACTAACAGTGTATGATATGTAATTTGTTATAACTATTATGTAATGGTTATTAAAAGTATTGGGTATAGTGTGTACCTATGTAAAGCCGATCAATGTCATAGATGAGAAAAGGAGTAGAGGCTGAAGTCAAAGAGAGATTTTGACAACTATGTACATAACGATTTTTTGCCGCCTGAAATAGGATTCCTTGGGTGTGGAAGAGGCTTGGTAGGCGGTCAAGTACTAGAATATTTAGATTTGGGATCTTGACTTTCTGGTCACCTTCGCATTTGAATATTTCTTCAAGCTCATCTGATTCCATGATCATCAAACTCTCTAACCTCAGAAGTTCTTTGCATGTGGAGGCCAGAAAGACATATTTCAATTTGTGACACTTTATTACGGAAAGTGTTTTTAGTTTTGGAAAACAAGTCCTTAAGGACAGGTTTTGATTCTGCCTGTCGTCTTCAATGATATGCTTCAACTGTTTGCAATTTGATATAATTATATCTCTCAATTGTGGTATGCATCTTAAAATAGAAGTAGAGAAAACTACTTCCAATATTTCACATTGCTTGATGATTATTCTTGTAAGTTTTTGTAGGGCAAAAGAATTTTTGGGACCTACAAAAAGGTACATCATATAATGCAGATCGTATAAGTAAATCCATCGCAACCTTAAGTTCAATGGTTCTCCTTCTATTTCATTGAGACACAGTATATTTTCTGCTTTGGACTTATGTAGCCAGAGACTTTCTAAAGCAACAAAATTTTCAATGCTCCCACTCACCTACATTTAGGGACATAAATTGAATTAGGAATAGTATCATAATATCTTTTTTGAAATTCACTCAAATGAGATATCATTTTAGATTATATTGTTAACTTAAGTTAAATGAGATATCATTTCAGAAAAACATGGATACCTTGGTGATTGTATTTAACAGAGATTCTGATTCTGAATGATTAATAATGAATTCACCAATAGATTCGATTGCAACCTCAGAGCAGTCTGAGAGGCGAAGGTTTTTAAAAGGTGGAAATGTTGTGCAATACTGTTTGGGACATATGGCAACTAAACTTGGTAGGTAATTGAGAGTGAGACTTTGCAATGCCGAAAGATGAAGGTGAATCTTAGAGTGGTTGTGATGGTCATCAGTGTAGTGTCCAAATATGTATTCCAATTTCTCGCAACTTTCAACGCAAAGAGTTTTTAATTTTGGGAAGACCTTGCACCAATTATTGCCACCACTGTCATCATCTCCAATGTCAACTATTATGTGCTTCAATTCATTACACTTTTTGATCGTCAAAGTTTCCACCAACATTGTTGGAGTAATAGACATGATGAGCACCCATTTTATCATCGAAATATCACAAACTGTAATTTCTTTTACATTACACATGTTAAGCAATCGTGCTTGAAAACATTGTGCACCGTCCCATATTTGAATATAGTGTGAACTTGATCCCTGTAATGTAATCCCAATATCGAATCAAACATTATTGAACAAGTGTGTATACAAGTCCTAAAGATGCGTATAACATTTCTCTTATATAAGTCCTAAAAGATACGTGTATGTTATATATAATTATGTTTGTGCATACAACTTTTTGAAACTTTTTGAAAATTTTCAAATTGTTTTTTTTATGATATAAGCCCTAAAGATAGGTCCACAATATCTATAATTAATTTTGTGCAAAAATATTTTAGAAACACTTCATATAGGATGCCACTTTTAATACAAGACTTCAAATTTTGGATGTTTAATAAGCAAAATGATATCAAGTGTCAATAGACAATACAAGATACACATTTAAAAGAGAACATATAAAAAAATAACAAAAAAGAGGTGAGAGTGTTACTAATGCGGCTGAGTTGTTCCGCCGGGTGTTATTAATTATATGAATAATAGCTATAAAACATACATTTAATAAAAAAAAACTAAACAAATAACACAATACCATAAAAGAGTTTTTAAAAAAAACTACAATAAAGGATTCATAAAATCAAATATTAAATCACAAGGCTTAATAAAACCAAGAATGTATAAAGATTAAAGATAAAAAGAAGAGAAAAAATTGAGGACGGGACAGTGAGAAGAGTAAAGAAAAAAGAAAAGAAAGAAGAGAAAATAAAAAATAGAGAAGTAATATGAAGAACTTTCAAAAACCAACCTGAGAAGAGAAGAATTTTTCAAGTGAGAAGATCAAAGAGAGTTTTCTGAGTTAGTTGATGCCGCGGTGAGAACGGGACCATGGTTGTCGGGATCTTGCTCTAACTCTCAAAATCTTACGATCTTACGCTTTGACAACCGGCTATCGATTTTAGTGGTACAAAGATCTGAGATTTGACTGGAGCGTTGAACTCCTAGAGAAAGATCTTTAAATCGTGGGATATTGAGATCCCAACGATCCTTTTTTTTTTGTTTTTACCCGTTTTAGACGCATTTCGACCCGATCATTAAACAATTGAAATAAGCCCATAAACACATACTATTATATTTTTCAGATAAATTAATGAGAATGTTACTTTAAGTGATATTCCATTATGTATTTTTAGATAAATTAATGAGAACTTTTACATTAAAGTAATTTTTCCTAATTATTTCTATAATTTTGTCTATTTGTTGGGATCTTACAATATGTGTTACAATCCTAAGATTTATGCTTGTTCTATACTCTAATGATCTTTATTGAGATCTCGATTTTGACAACCATGAACAGGAGAGAAACGCGTGAGGAAGTGAGAAGACAAATCTTTCAATATTTATTTATGTATGGGTAAATAAGATTTTTTTCCATTAAAAATAGATAGTAGATTGAAACCTCTACGGGCCGGGAAGCGCTCTGTGCTGCAAACCGCTCCAAGTCAAACTGAGACACGAACTAGTATGTCATAGCGGTTGGCCACAACTTTGCACTGCTCTCCCAGGATAGTGTTGTTATTACCCAGGATTGATAACTCTGAATTGAATTAAAGTAGTTGACATACTTCCAAGTTTGTGTCTATGGTTATTTATGTTGAGAATTGGTTACAAATCAATTTGTATTGATTTGTATTCAATTAGTCATAAGTGTAAATTATATTATTATCTATTGTGTATATCTATTTTGCATATAAATATATAACATGTTTGATCATATTAGACTAACAGAAATACAATCACAGCATGGTATCTAGAGTTGGTTGACTCACTGTCTTCGAGAAATTTTTTTTCCCGTTTCCGCAAAATATCAGGCCATTCACGACACTGCACGAGGGCAACACCATTCCTGACGACTTTTCCAGCGAAGTAACCATACCGGCGACATTGCCTCCTTCTGATCAGTCGGTACCCAAAATCGTTGTTGTGATCTACCTTACAACGCTCGCTGCCGCCACTTGTGTGTGGATCTCATGTGTCGACCTTCCCTATGCGCGTGACAACACGTCCCACCACCTCTATTGCCATTTTTGTCGCCTTTTGTGCTCTTTTCAGATCTGCTCTTGGTTTTTCCATCCAAGCAACCAAAAATCATGGGAGATACCGATTCCGCCACTTTTACGAAGGTTTCACTTATCCCGTGTGAGAAACTCACTAGAACAACACACTATAATATATAGGCTGGTGCTGTCAAAATGTGGTTTCATGGTCAAGGACATGAAGATCACTTAACTACAAAATCAGAAAATATTACCGCCGCCAAACACGATAAACCGAAACAAACAGATGCTTCTCTATGCACTATGTTATGCTTTTCCATAACAACTAAACTCCAAGCACAATACCAATCTATGAGGTTTGGGAAAAGGCTAAGAAAGTGTTCTCCAATGATGTCCATAATCTTTATAGTTTCATCACCAAACTCAACTCTTTGAAATTGGAGAATATGGATATGCAAGCCTGATCTGACCTGATCAGAAATGGACCGTCACGGCTGGCTCCGAGCAGAAAGCTTTTTTGAACGAGGTGGGGGGGGGGGGGGGGTACCTGCAAGGCACTCCGATGCTGAAGTAAGTAGGAGTACGAGCAGATAATAGCAAGTGTAAGGTTAGAATGATCAATATCTGACCCTCTGGAAGCAGAGGGTATTTATAGCCCCCAGCGCTGGGCCAAGGTTCCTTCACTGGGTCGGGCAGGTTTGGCCCAATGGAGGAACTGCCAGGTTCTACGTGCGTAGTGGGGACCCGCACGTGGTCCCCTTCCTGGATGTTCTGCGTGAAGTGCGGGCGGACGGAGACGCGGTCTTTTCGGAGTATCGTTGGGGGGACAGTGGACTGAGTCTGCCCTAGCTGGGGTGCTCGAGGTAACGTCGAGCTGGGCCTCAGACTGTGGTGCTGGACCACCTCATGTCGAGCTGGAGGCGTATCGTCGAGCCAGCGACTGCGCGTCGGGCACGGTCTCACTCTTTGGTCGGCGTGGCCCTTGTAAGTCCATTTGGACTGGGCCTTTGCAATGCTTTTGGGCCTGTCGGGCCCAGTCCAGAACAGGAGCCCCCCAAGTCGTGGTTCCTTTGTGAGGAGCCATGACTTGAACTCAAGTCGCTTCCTCATCGAGGTCTCGTGCCCGTGACAGAGGTGTGGGCCCTCGAGGGCCTCCTCGTGTCGTGCTCGGAGCCGTCTTCGGCGGTGGATGCACGGAGGATCCTTACCGGGCGCGTCTGTCGAGCATACGAGGTATCTTTCGGGAACTGTGCCGTCACCCTATGGGGATAGGGTCATCATTGCGTTGGGAGCAGCGCGTCGAGGAGAGGGAGTCCGTGGTTGCCCGAGGTGACGTTTGGTATTCCACGTCATCACTATAAATAGGAACCTTGGGCCCCATAACACGTTTCTATTCTCTGCGCTCTCTCTGCTGCTGCTCTTCCTGATTTCTTCCAGTTGCGACTTTCTGTCACAGATTCTTCTACTCCGTAGCCAAATCCTACTCTTTGATTCAAGTAAGTGGTCTATCTTCTTCATTTTCTTGTTAGAATGCATGATTTTTGGCGCTTGTAGATGTTTTAGGGCCGTGCGCGTGGGATTAGCCCGGTAGACTTATACTTAGCCCGACATATTCATGCCTAGGACCGGCAAACGCATGTTTGTGGCCGGCGTATTCATAGTTTTAGGTGATAAACTTCAGCGCTGCTCGGGGTCTTCATGATCCAGGGCGCCTGATTCATGATCACGCCCGGTATGTTCATGGTCTTGGCCGTGGGCCTCATGGTGTGGCTCGCCATGTTCATACCTTGGGTCGACATGTTGGAGAGTGACCGCGTAGTTGGTTTGAGGAAGAACACAACGAGTTTCGGGATGTCGGGGAGGCAACCATTCGTGGAAACGGACTACGTGGTCGTGAATGGGACGACGTGATTTGTCGAGCGTATGGCTTCGTGCCCAATTGACTGGTTTTCCGTGCTCTGCAGGTAACCATGGCGGACGAGCCGAGCTCCTCCGGGCGTCACGATCGTGAAGAACAAAGAGCCGACGAGTCGGTCAACCTGATTGATACTGTGACCGACCCTTTGCTGGATTGGGTGGGCGTCGAGCCTCGAGGGATCGCGTCGATCTACAGCCGAGACGACCGAAATCCGTACAATGTCATCGAGACGGGCCAGGGCCAGCCCGACTTTCAAAGGAACTTCGTAGTCATGCGCCCGTCCTCCCGTGCCAGGATCTGCTCGGTTTATCCGGAATACAGCTTCGCGATGTACGAGATCACGTTCAAAGATCTAGGGTTGCGGCTGCCCTTCACTGATTTCCAAGTTGGGGTCTTCACTCACCTGGAGCTGGCCCCGTCCCAGCTACATCCAAACTCGCTCGCCTTCATCCGGGCGTTTGAGTTGACGTGTCGCTATCTGAGGATCGGGGCGACCATACCGCTCTTCTTCCGAATTTTTCATCTGCAGCGCCAGTCCCGAGGAGGGAAACATAGCTGGGTCTCCCTGAAGCAGTCGAGGAGACTCTTCAAAATGTATATGGACTCCGTAAGGGGTTTTAAAGACAAGTGGTACGTTGTGCGGCCAGTTACCACCTCTGCTTTAAGTTCTCTTTTCGAGGAGGAGGAGCCCCTGAGCGACGATGACGGGGAGGCGGTTTTGGGCGACGATGGGAACCCTGTGTTGGCCCGTACGGCTAAAGTCCCTGTGCACTGGATGTTCCGGCATTACGAGCATGGGACTGGTTATTACCATACTGCCGTCGGGGACATGTGCTCGGAAGACGAGGAGGCGTACGCCGCACTTTTCCGGTTCGTCGATAGCTTCCACCCTGCCCGGTGGGTTACGCGGGAAGGGGATGATATCTTGGACAAAGATGGTTACCCAACGTTCGAGTCCCGTCCGATTGATACCAAGGCGCTCGTGGAGTGTCCGACGTACAGGCAGGCTGCCCGTCTGTTAG